ACACGTGGAAAATACGTCGTGCACGATACACTAACGCATCGTCAGTCGCGTAAAAAATGTTTAGCTTATGAACTAAGGTCATCATGCCCACTGCCTTTCTCCCACCCAAGTAGCACTTGGGCACGTGAGTGGGATCCTGGCAGTGAACACGGAAAGGGTTAAATCTGAAAATCCTGAGCTAAAAAAATGCTATTAGTATATCTATCTTTTTATCTAACGGGCTAATTTTTGTTTGATTTAATATACTTTATATAAATTCTAATAAATGTACTCAATGAATTTAATAAAAAATTACTGTATTTAATCAATTTATTAATCAAATGATAATGTAATGCAAGTGAACAAGAAATTTATTTAATCAAAATTAATTTATGAATTTATTTGAACAATTAATAATAAGAAACAATTGACTCTAAAGGAAATATTAATGCAATCAATCCTCAGGCGATCTCTTAATCAAAGCAAATTTTCTAAAAAGAAGTATTAAAAAAATTTATTGCTTCGATTTTGAAATCTACCTGTCGCGAAATGTCTTCTTGCACATAAAATTTTTTATACATTCTTGTATACGAAAAGAATAAAATTATTCACTATTTTTACATTTTGAATTTTACTTGAAAAATAATTACATTGTTCAATACACAAGCAATAAGCGAAATTGAAAATTATCTAGCAATGATAATATGCACTATTATTGTAAAATAATTAAAATTTTTATTGTAACGAAATCGGAGGACATCCGATTTCTTTACTCAAAGATATTCAAAATTCAAAATTTTATTTATAAATAAATATTCATATATTGAATACACTGATTGTGGCAAATTATAATATTTTCAACCACAGATGTACAAACTAATTACCAATCATGTTAATTAAAATTTTGATAATGTAAAATTAATTATCAATATTAATCTCAATAAATACGCGATGTGCAAGAAAACCCTATCCTGATCTGATAAATGAAACGAGAAAAATGTTACTACTCACGAGTATTATAATAAATACTCGTGGTTACTGTGCTCGTGCAAAAATCTACGTATACAACCAGTCACCCGTGTCGATTCGAACCTTTCGTCCTACGACATGATTGAGTGACCAGAGGAACCAAAATGCATGCGACTCACCATTCGATGCGAAGAACTGCTGCTGCTCAGAAGTCAGGTAGAAGCTTGGAGAAATCTAACAAAAAGAAAGGAATATATAATTTAAAACACAATTCTGATTGTTTGAAATAATAATAAAATAGTAAAAGTATTAAATTTGCATTATGTAATTACCTCTTCGCGTGATGGATGATCGCCTTATGTTCTTCATACACTGACTCTACCCTGTACCGAAAACGAATATATATATATATAAATTTAAAAAAAATAAAAATAAGAAGCTAATAAACGCGTCCGTTTTATGTTATAATCGGCGAGCAAACACTGATTCTATTCTCGCGTTTGATCATTCTAATTATATTTAATCAGAGCTGTTCTGCTCTAAAAAATATTAAAAATATTTTCACGAAAAAAACACTGACTCTATTAACCGCATTGCGCGCGGTCGCAAATGTTTTTCAAATCTTTGTAGTCCATCAGCTCCTTTAACAAAGAATAAAATATTGAATGTAATTTTTGTTCTTAAAAAACAGCAGTTATTAAAAAATTTTAAAATAAAGAAAAATAGTCTAAATTAAATTTTAATAAAAAAATTAATATTCTAATAAATTTTAATAAAAATTTGAACTTACCTCTTCGCGTGATGGATGATCGCCTTATTCTCTTGATACACTGACTCTACCCTGTACCGAAAACGAATATAAATTTAAAAAAATAAAAATAAGAAGCTAATAACGCGTCGGTTTTACATTATAATATAATCGGCGAGCAAACACTGATTCTATTTTCGCGTTTGATCATTCTAATTATATTTAATCAGAGCTGTTTTGCTCTAAAAAATATTAAAAATACTGTCACGAAAAAAACACTGACTCTATTAACCGCATTGCACGCGGCCACAAATGTCTTTCAAATCTCCATAAAGTTTATCAGCTCCTTTAACAAAAAATAAAATATTGAATGTAATTTTTATTCTTAAAAAACAGCAGTTATTATTTAAAAAATTTTAAATAAAAGAAAATAAGAGTTTAAATTAAACTTTAAATTTTAATAAAAAATTAATATCTCAATAAATTTTAATAAAAATATGAACTTACCTCTTCGCGTGATGGATGATCGCCTTATTCTCTTGATGCACTGACTCTACCCTATACCGAAAACGAATATTTAAAGAAAAATAAAATAAAATAAAAGACTACTGACCCGTCCGTTTGAATTACAATCGGCGAACAAACACTGATTCTACTTTCGCGAGATATTATAATAATTAAATTAGAGCTATTGCTCTAAAGAATATTGAAAATACTGTCACGAAAAAAACACTGATTCTACTAACCGCATTGCGCGCGGTCAAAATAGGGAAAAGTGGGATAAAAAAAAAAGAAAATATCGTTCCAACATTTTCTTTCTTTTTTCTATCAGGCATTTGTTCAAGAAACTACGTTATTATTCTATTATTATTCTGAAAACTGTTTCTATAAATTGAAAGTTATTGAAAAAATAAATTTAATCTATTTAAAATTAAAAAAATATTTGAAATAAAAATTTAATTTATTTAATCTCTTCCACTTTAATATTCACAATTATTGTATCGATATATTATGAATTACTTGACAATCAAATAAAAAGAAGATAAAAATGTACGTATTTTTCGTACAAAAATGTTACCACTTGTCTTCAAAAAGTCACCATTTTATTGCGTCGAAATTTACAAGTCATTATGGCGTCCATATTTGAATCCTTTTATCCTTTTTAGAGCTGTCGACAATTAGCTTCTAAAAAGATATAAAAAATGAAAATTTATAATAAATGTATGAAATATATAAATTAACCGATTATTATTAAAAAAAAAACTAACTTGTAATATTATTAAAGAAAGCATTAATAAAAAATCCCATTCTAAAAATTCACGATACGATTTACCAGTAATTTTAACGATCAAATATGTTAATAAAGAAAAAAGAATAATTTTCCCCAAAAAACTCTCGATTATAATATTTATACGATTGAATATATTAATTAAATAAGTAATATGCAATAAATAAAAACGAATTATTGAAATAATTATATAATAATTAAATTACATACCTGTTACAAATCGAAGCGTCTAATCGGCACGAATTTCAAAGACACAATGACATGGCTCGCGGCTCGATTATCGAAATTCGTATGGAAGGGATATGCTCGTCGAGAGATCGACAACAAACATCAAATGTAAACTCGACCTCCAAATTCCTCGTATTCTATACAAATACTAGGCCAGCTATAATCAAAATATAAAAACACACAACACATAGTTATACGCAATTAAAACTTTGTAATAATATTTTAAATCGTAATTCTTGATAAAATATATAAAAATCTTACTTGATTTTCGTATACGTAATTCGATTGGCTCTTATATCTCGAAATCATGCTGACAATCGAACGATATTCTGCATACACGAAAATCAAAGTAAAACGTATAATAAATGTATAATAAATAAAATAAACTAAAGTAAAAAATTATTGTTTAAAAAACAATAATTGAAATTAAGAACAGAAATACAGAAATCAAGTTCAAATTTATAAGATTTACGAACAAATAATACGAACCGATAACCGTCAAACAAACGAGCAACGTAAAACGACAAAAAAGTATAAAAAACTATTCAATTTTGGAATATTGTTTAATAAATGATTAAACAAATACGTATTACGTATACAAAACCATCGAAAGTTAAGAAATTACACTAAAATATTAATAAAAATTGTACGCAATTACGTACTTGTACCGGTGTAACGTATCCTTCCGTCACGAGTTTCGATAGTAGACTAACGCCATGCGCAATGATTCGTCTATTCGCTGGGTCCTAGAAGCTCTCTGATTGGTTGGAACAGCATGGTTCCTTTACCAAAACCGCGCGACAATTTAAGTATCGTATAATATACTTTTAAAATATTTTTAATTGAAAATAACTATAACATTTAATTTACCGTTAAAAAAAAATAATAAGAATAAATAATTATAATTGATTTAACATAAAAATTAAATAATTTTAACCATATTAATAAAGATTATAGCATAATAAGGAAATTTAAAATAAAAATTTGATTTAAATTAAATTAAATTTAATTTAATTAATTATTTTTATTAATTATTTTATTAATTAAATTTTTTATTAATAAAATTATTAATAAAAATTTAATGTTA